TTGTGGCGCTACAATATAACAAGTGGTAAAGTGTCTTTCTTGGCTGTGACTAAAAAGTGAGTTAAACTCAATTCGGGAGATTAACAGTATTTTTATCTCACTTAGCTGTTTAGAGGACTATTTGTTTAATCCTTTTCTTGGTTTAGACTACTTTTTTGTTTCTTTTCTTAGTTTAGGTTTATTTGATTACAGCAAAAACTCAAGGGCTAAATGCCTAAGTGGAGAGATGTTTCATTTAGGACTTTTTGAGGGAAACTGGTTTGTATACATGTTACACATGGGGTAAACCCTGAAAATGCTCATGCAGCTGGCCAATTTTGCCAGGATTTGAAGCACAGAATGAACTACCAGTGTTCAGTGACTTTACCACTTTGCCACTGGTGTTCTTGTTCCTTTTTTTAATGTTGTTATTTGTTGTTTCTTTGAGTGATAGCTTGTTTTTGATGATTTTAATGTCAAATGAGAAGCAAATTCTACAACAGCATTTTGATTTCTGAAGATTCCATGTGGTTTTTTTGATTATGGGAATTAATTGAAAATTCTGTAGTACATTTACCATTAACTTCTAAGTTAAACCTTCTTTATGTAATAAATTTATTTGTTAAAAGAAAGACCACCTAAACTGCACAAGAAGTTATTTCCTTACAATTTAAATCTGTACAAAAATATCTTACAGTTTAAACATAAGGTTAGGCTGTTGTCATATGTCATGCCCAATGGTTGGTTGAGCCCATTTAAAAGCTACTCCAGTATATTAGCTACCATTACAGTTTTCGAAATTGTTGATATTTGTGGTTTCTGTGGCTAGAGCACCATTGCATTCCAATGGATTTATTTAACTGATCAATTTTAACCACTTGCACTACGACTAAACTTCACGGTTGCAGTGCTGTGAGCTACAATATAACAAGCCGTAAAGTGTCTCATTTATGCCGTTCCGTGTCTGCGAGTGCGATCCAGAGGTGTAACTCGAGAAATAAACAATCTTGTTGTTAGGCGACGTGTGCACCATGTTATTTTCATTTTTGCTATAAATGCCTATCGACATGGTGTTCACGTCACTTGCGGTTTGAGACAAAAGCATCTCGACATGCGTGCCACGTCTTTTTAGCACGTTAAGGATTCTTAAGGACCATACGAACCCTGTTACATTAGTTTGATAACCTGTATGCAATTTTTATAAAGTACTTACTTGGAAACATAAAAACAAAAATATAGAAAGTAAACTGACAGAACCATAAAACAAAACAAACAATAAGCCATGTAATCTCTGAAATAAGATATGAACAATATATTTTTTTTTGCAAGTCACAACAAAATCAGCAACAACTTCTGTTTTGTGAATCATTTTTTACATGCAACAACATTTTAACTTTCATTAACATTGACACAAAGTAACATTATACATACAGATTCACTTAATTCCACATCAAAAATAGATCATTTTCTGAAATTAATCTTTTTTAGAAATTTACTTTGAATTTATTGGATAGCTGTATGTGTATGCATAGAAAACAATATAATAAAAACAGCTTAATAACTTTCAAAGATCGTTTAAAGATTTTATGATTCTTTACTAAAGTGAAATTTTGCTTTGAGTAAGTTTTCCATTATTTCCAAATGATGTTGCCATATAAGAAAAAATGTGTAAATATGTATCTTGGAAACTGTTGCTCCCATATTTTGATATAATGTGTAAATACTTTACATCGGAATAGTAGTTTCTGTGTGTTATAATAAAATATACTACACACTTAACCATAAGACAACTTCTAAAATTTAAATGATATAATTGTTAAATACTTTACTTCATAAGAATCACCGCAGTATTTTTCTACAATATATCAATAATAAATCGAAGAAAAATTGTTCCTTCTGAGACTGTTCTTGATTACAACGTAATTATGTAAAACTCAAGCAGTTTTTTTTACTGAAAGGTTTTAAGCTTAAAGGTAGAATAGTGAAATGAATCCATCAAATATGAATTTTGAGCTCTGTTCTGACAGTAAACAAGTTTATATGATATGAACAGAATTCACAAGAAAAACTCAAATTTGGGGCATGATACATATCCATCTATGAGAAATTTTCAAATTAAAATAAATCAAAACATAAATTAATTCCTAAAAAATCTCAGGAAATATAGTAATAACCATGTACATTTATATCCATTATATACTAAAACTGTATACAGATGTTGTCTTTCTGAGAAATTGCATATCTAAGATAACTTACATCGGAATAGTTATTATTATAAGTTTTATTTTATGCTAAGTTTTTCTTAAAACTGTTAAGTGAATAATATTTATAAATGGGAAAAAAAATCACATTTAAAGCCCACCCCCTTCCCCCCCCAAAAAAAATTGCAATGTTATAGCTTCAGAGTACAATCTAACATCTGGATTTATTACAAAATTCAAAAACTAATTTTAATATTATTTAAAAAAATTACAAATATAAAAAACATATGATTAAAAATAAATTGAAATACGATCTAGATATGAAGATTTCAATTCAAAACTTGATGCAATCATTCTGTTAGACTAATCTGCTAAGTTAAGCAGTTTAGCAGATGGGCCTTACAAGTTTAAGAGTTAATCTCTCAGAATTAAAGCTATAGAATACAAGTATTTCATACTTTAAAATGTGCTGTTCAAAATTTCAAAAAAACAAGGTAATTTCAAAAATCACTCTCTGCTTATAAAAATAGTCATTGAATGAAATCTGCTTCCTACTTCATTTAAGTTTGTCAACTTCCTTTTCCAGCAACATCCTCAATAACTTCAAAAACACAATTTTTATAAATTTAATGCTTTTACTTTCTCTTTTCAGCTACCTTCATCTAAACTTTGTAGAATTTAAAATAAACACACATTCACACACATACATACGAATGTAATGAACTGTCAAAAAGTACTTTTGAAATTAATGTGATGAATTGCAACTGCAATTTCAATAGATAAACTGTTTTGGCAGCCCTTGAGCATAGATTTATTACATGTTATCAGTCATACAGACAGAAAATAGAAAAATTAAAGTAAGTAATTTAGAAATGTGATGAATCACTTGAGAAGTGCTTCATTATAACCGCCAAATGAAATCTTTGCTGATAAAACAAAAAATGAAGAGAAAGGGATAAACTTAATGAATCAGAAGCTACTCACAGCTGTTTTGCCTCCAAAAAAAAAAAAAAAAAAAAAAAAAAAAAAAAAAAGCTTTGTTATAAAAAACAAAACAAAACAAAACAAAAAAAAAAACAGGAAATATAAAGCATCCTCATTTGCTTAATATGATAAATATTTTAATAAAATAGTGAAATAACATACTTTGATAAACACTTTAACTCATGCAGTCATTTTATAAATAATTACAGAAAATTGGTCACTTTTCAGAGATGGTCATTTTAGGGAAAAAGGTCACTGAAAAAGATTCATCATATTTCAATCAAATCAGTAACTAAATTTTGAATATTAACTGCTAAGCAGGAAATAGTACATTAAAAATATAATGATAAAAAAGAAGAAAAGAAGGAAGGAAAAAGGAAAGAAAATCTTTCATTAAATCATTTTCAGGTATAACAAATAAATCAAAATACACTTTAAAAAGTAAAAATTGACAACAAACTTTCATAAAATTATAATCTTTATCACTATCTTTATTAAAATATCATTTTTGCCACTTATAGAACAAATATACAAACATAAATTTTGCTTTCTCAGATTAATAGCAGCAGGTTTATAAGATATGTATGCGTCTGCTTATACGATTAATCTGACATAAATGTACCCAAATTTTTGTATAATTAACTATTTAATATTTAATTCTAATGAAATCCTAATGTCAGATATTTTTCAGCTTTCAAGATTATTTGTTATTTCTTGTGATTAAGCATTAAGCTTTTGAAAAAATATACTCCATGAAACATATTTATTTCACAAATTATAAGAATTTATAAAAACTTTAGTTGAAGAAATTAAGTTGTAATATCCCATAAAATGTACTAATACTACGCATTAATTATGTATAATATAGGTGATTATGGAAAAATATTTACATGTTCAAAAAATAATGAAATCAAGAAAAGGCAAGTATGAGATTTATGACAATATACAAATTCAAATAGTGACACACACTATTTGAATGTTTCTCATTTCCTAAGTAAGCTTTTAATACATCATAAAAGTTTTATATATCTTGTAGAAAACTACACGCAGAAAGCTTTCAACGAACACATTGGGTGGAATTAGTTGCATGTGTAGCTAAAATAAATTCATTTTTAAAATGCTAACAGAGTATTATCTCTTAGCACAATTTGAATATAATAATGATAAATATGCTTAAATATATAACTAAAAATATCACAAATAAAGTAATTTTTATTTTCAAACAAATAATTGCATAGATAAATTTTCAGCAAAACATAACTTAGTTATCTCCTAATGCACCTAGTTTGTACTTATTCTTTTGCTGCACCGGGTTAGCTTTCATTACATCATAGTGTTAAGGATGACCAACTTTAAATTTTAAAACATTTTCTAAATTTTCAGAAATTTCATTAAAATTTAAATAGATTCCCTCTAATGTATAAGGACAAATTTCAAACTTTTATATTTCAAATGTTTGTTTTTTCTCATCTAAAATACGAAGACATCCATTCTACATTATTATGATTTATCTGACACTCACAATACACTTTGTATTCAAGGAGAATACATTCCAAACTTCATAAGTAATTTAAGTAATTATGCAAAAGAATTACTTATTAACATTTGAAATCTTTTAGAATTTATCCGTGAAATAATCATATGGGAGGGAGGGGGTAGTTTCAGCCTTGCAGTAACTTTAAAACTGTTTTATATTATTTTATTTCTAACTGTTTCTTGAAAAATATTTCAATATAACAATAAACTGCTAAGTTGAAAACTCTAAAAAGTAATTTCTTAGAATCCTTCCAAAAAATATTAATGACTGCATTCAATAAAACAAGAAAATAGCAATAGTTTGATGTAATCCTACATTTTTAATCTATAAGCAAAAACAAGCACAATTAATTATTATCACAAATATATTACAGGAAAAACATATCTGTATTTGAATCACAAAGGGAGTTGGTGTGTGTGTGTGTATTATTCACATACAAGTGATGAAATAATAATAATTTATATCTATCATTATACTTTGGATTTTGAAGGAAGAAAGAGTTAATTTTCCACAAATCCACTTAGTTTTTCTCGTTACATAATGTGCCATTTGACATATGGTCATGGAATAAAATTCATACCTATCTCACAAAATATATAAAAATGTAAAATATTAATTTTCAGTTTTACCACTACACCAAAACAGTTTTCTTCTTCCCCAAAAAATCTGTTGTGAATTTGACCAAATTGACATAATTAAGATACAGTTTACCAACTTGAATTCTTTTCATCTTATAGAATATATATTAGACATCAACCATGAATACCATTATACAATATAATTTTTTTTCAATAATAAAATTAGTGATAATTATTTTTGTCAGCTTCTTTAAAATAAAAGATCAGTTTACATGGTTATATAGTGGATATGAGGGATTTTTGATATTTTTATGAAAAATCATTGAAATACGATAAGTTAACAGTATAATTTGTAATAAAATTTGGCAAATATATTTTGTAACAATTTTGCCAATAAAGAACAAATAATAAATTATTTACATACAAGTCACTTTTTCATACACAATAAAAGTTTCCCAACAGAGAAAATACCTTTAAATACATCAATTTGCTAAAATTATGTCAATTCATTTTCCCACCTATGACTGCAGATACTAACACTTCATTGCCATTCATTAGAAATAGCAATAAGTACCACATTGGGAAGGAGGAGGAAGCACATTAAACAACCATAAATTAGTTAATATTACAGCAAAGTTAATGGGAAAAAATATAATGAATTGTTTTTAGAAAAATTAATCATTTAAATGACAAAATAAATATAATACTAACAAGATAAAACAAAAATAAAATTTAATCCTACAGTAATGATACACAAATTTCCAATAACATGAAAAGGTAAATAAATAGTTCAAAACATATTCTCAAGTAAATAAATAGCTGAAAACATAACAGTTTGAAATATATTTGGAAAAATACATTTTTATCACTTACTTAAAAAAAAAAAAAAAAAAAAAAAAAGATGAAGTTATTGGTATCATATATAACCTTAATTATATACTAAATAGAGTAGCATACTCAGATATTCATGTAGTTATAATGATGTATAATCAAATTTCCTACATTTAGCATATTGAAGTATTTAAAAGTCAATTTTCCGTTTCGTACCCGCATATTTCCTCTCGACAGTACAAGATACATAATCCTAGGGCTAACATTCCAGTTGGTCATCCAAATATTTTATAAAATTGCAAATAAATCACCAGTGCAACATTGCATCCCTAAAAGATATGCTACTACAAAGTGACACTTGGCCTTGACTACCAATTCAAGGCTTTTGCTTAGGGTACCAAAATATGACACTCGGAGAATGGCAGTCAAGTAGTACGCAAAAATGCAGGATCCACTGAAGCCACTTTTGCAGTCAAAAATGCATGCATGCAATACAGAAGAGAAGACAGCACCTGGCACTCAACTTCCTAAAGACACAAAAAGTATTAATTTTTAAAACATTTCCTTAGATTAAAAGACCTGCTAATGACTTTTTCCCCTTTAAAGTTTACTTTTACATTTGTTACAACAGTGCTCAAAACATTCAGCATTGTTTTCTCATAAACTGATGAATAAAACAATAAAAACAATAAATTTATTTAAGATAATAAATACACAGTATCATAACACCTAAATACAAAGTAAAAAATCACATATGAATGGAAAAAAAAAACTGCATTTTAAAATAAAATTGAAATTACATGTGTCAATATAATTAAAGGAAAAAGTATATACAAAAACAAAAGCAGACTGTTAATAAAAAATATAATCTTCCCTAATTCATACACATATATCATAATGTACTTCCATGATCACATTAACCCTCTCGGTAGTAAGACATCTTTATCAGGTCATGAGATTTTTTGTCACTAAGACATTTTGCTTTCTTACTTTTTTAACAATGTAAATGTCATTTTAATGAAAGTAAGTTTATGAAAATACAGACTAAAATTTCTAATTATACAAATTTAGCCAATAAATGTTATTTAAATACAGGTCTTTATGACAGATCCAAAAGCATGCATTGCTCAGAGGGTTAAGGTCAGTGACCAGATTTAAGGGAATAAGTTCCATTCTTCTACCAATATAATCATAATAGAAATAAGATCTTTATGAGAATTTCATCACATAACAACTTCCTCAGCTGTGTTTGAAAGGCCCACCAGTGGCCGAGTGGTAAAATCACTGAACACTGATAGTTCAATTTGGAATTTGATTCCGGCAAACAGAGCTAGCTGGTCACATGGGTGTTTTCATGGTTTACGAGAGAGTACATTTATCATTGAATAAACCTTTAAAAATCCTTGCCCAGGTTTATAAGACTTTGTCTAGATATCTCTGGTGAACACTCAAACACAAGCAAGGGAGTAACTACATTGTTCTTTATTTGCTTTCTCACACTGACATATCTCTGTTACCAAGATGATCATACTACCCAATGTTTGTGAGAATATTTTCTGTTTCTAGTTCCCTGCAGATGTAAATAGGTTTAGAATCAAGCATTGAAATGAATCCCATATCATCACTGAAGATAACATAGGCCTGTTATTATAGATGTTGACATTCTAAGCACCAATTCAAGTGAATTCCTTTTTGCTACAGGATCGTGAAACACAAACCTTAGTTTTTCAGACACAAAGGCCTTTCTCAGTAAGTTTTAGTTTATATTAGCTTTAACAAAAGTTTCCTGCCACTGCAAATATCCTCTGTCAAACAGCTCACATTCTCATGTTTAATCATATTTTGTCAAACAATTTTTGACATTTTAAAGAGACTTGCTTTAGAACACTGTTTTGTGAAATTTGTAAAAAAACTATCATTATCATTAAGTACAAAGTGTCTGAAATGGAACTATCATTGCTACTAGAATAGAACCATCATTTACTTCCAGGTCTGTTGCAAAAAGTCAGCTACAGAATGTCACCAAATCATGTGTACAGCTTTAGGTACTAATGTTGTATCATATGACACTGTGAAGGTTTGGTACTGAAAGTTCAAAAACAAGCAGTATGACATTAAAAAAGCATAGCACTCTGAACAGCCTACTGATGTTGATGAGGTCTGCCTGCGAGAACTTGTGGAAAAAGATCCGTATACAACCACTCAAGAGCTTGCTAAGAGTTAGACATTAGTGCCATGTCCATTAGTTGCCCTATGCATCACATAAACTTGATGTACAAGTTCAATAGTTGGGTGCCGCATGGGTGCTAGATTTAAACTGATGACCTAAAAATCCGGAAATTCCAAAAATCTGAAATTGCGATAATTTCTGTGTCCCAACAAGTCAAGTCCCGACAATTCCTGTGTTGTTGCACAAGTGACGATCCGGTCCAAAATTTTGAGCTTGCATTGATATTTGATTGGATTTATAGTCATATAAGTGAATTGAAATAGAAATAAATAAATAAATCTTGATTGAATTCTTCATGCAATCCTTCTAGAACTTTCTGCATGTTTCTCCAGATAAAGTTTTTTTTTTTTTTTTTTTTCTTTTGTAAAGTAGCCCAGCATTACAAAAATTTTAGTATGGCTCAAAACAATATATTTTAACATATTATAGTATATTCCAAATTAAATATTAATTTTTAAAAGAAAGTGCATTTTAAAATTTCAGCTCATGACAGTGAAATGGTGGCAACAAAGCTGAAAATTTTAGCACACAGTACCTCTTGAGGAACTATGCTACATATCTCTGTCTTTTTTATAGAAAGGATCTCTTTATCTCTGTTGGGAAGGAATTTCACAGTTTCAGGGGGAATGCAACGAGGCTTTTATTTAACTGTTAAATGTTTAGGTTATAAAAAAAAAAAAAAAAACTATTATTATTCTTTTGGTATTTATCACGATTTTCTATATTTTTTCTTGTTTAATTTATAAAACATATTAAAAATTATATAAATTTAAATAAATGCATAAGCATTTTTCAAACTTGGAAGACAGGAATGATGGTCTACCATTGGTGAAAGGGATGCATAGGGCAAAAAAAGTTGACAACCCTTGCATCAGCACTTATCAAGTGTTTATAACTGAACAAAACACAGGAAAACATCAAGTGATGGAAAATATCGGGTGATTCAATCAATTTTGTACCATTCTGGCAGAATCACTTCCTAAAATATTTTCAATTTGATAAACTTGTCAGGTGTCAGGTATCTATTTTTGATTTTTAACTAATAGTTCATTTTAAGTTTGCCTACTTTCCTATTACTGTCTTTTCAACCCACACTTTTCATGCCAGAATGTAAATGAGATAGTGAACGTTTATTCAGATTAAAGTAGAAAAAAGAGCTATTTAAGCAAGAGTTTCGGAAGTTAGTTTTAGAGTGTGTCTTCTTATTCCAGTCCATGTTGTGCTGTGATTATTAGCGACTTCAGTTAGCGCTGTTGAGTGTTTGCAGCCATTTGGCTTTGTCTTGCCTGTTTACTACAAACCAGAGGCTTTCCTGCTCAATAAAATATTCTGTGAGTTGTTAGGCTAATCTAAATTGTTATTTGTTGAATATTTCTGTTAAACCAGAATTGCTTCGCTTATGTAAACCTAAGTTGGGTCATTTGTTAAATTGTGTTTGAATAAAAGGGTCTTCTGATTTTTGAATTGTTTTACAAGGCTAGAGGGTAATTCTTCAATAGTCCTTCTTAAGTCTATAATTTTATGTTCCCAAAGAGATAGACTTTACAAATTCATTACTAAAATGAGCCTCAAAATTTATTTGAGCAATTTGTTGGTAAACAGAAGCTAATTTCATCCTTCATTTAGGCAACAAACCAGCTTTTTAAATTTTTTAAACCCACTACTGAAAACCTCTCTTTTTATGCAGATAGTAGTCATAAAGTACTGATGATGATCCTGAATAAATATTCTGAATTTCAGTGGAGGTTTCACTTCATTAAGATTCAGGATAGTTCAAGAATTTTAGTTCAGGATTCAGGTATCTTAATAGTGAAACCTTCATTGAGATTAAGGATAATTACAAAATATCACTTTCCCGTATCATTTAGTTAAGTAGATGGACCAAAAACTTACAGTGCAGGTCACTTGCAGTACAGGTTTGATCTAGATTAAATAAGATATGGCCTTTAATATAAATAGTAGCTTACCTTTTTATGAGATAACAGCATTATAAATTTTAATACATTTAGCTTTTTGTGCAATTATGTACAACAGTAATTAAGTAGTAGTTTTCTATAACTAATTAGTTCACTACTGCATTCTGAAAAACTATTCACAGTAGCTGTTAAAAAAAATTCATCACTACAAATTTTGAAACTAAAAGTTACCTCTATCTCGATATCTTTTTTCTCAGGATCTTGAAAATTCAACATAAGCTTACTTTTACCATCATCTGAAGAACCTTTTAGCTGAGAAAATTTATATCGCCATGCATAGCACTAAAGGTATAGAAAAAATACAATTAAAAATTTGTGTATGTAAAATGAAAGATAATTCTGACAAGTAGACATTTTCTGAATGAATTTTTTTAATTAAAATTAAGATTTCCAGAATGATTGTTTTGATGGCTTTTTATTTACATAATATAATAAGAAGTACTTTTCTTTAGCCTCATATTAGTTTTACTGAACTTATGCAGGCACAAAAGGAAATAAAAAATATTTACTAAGAAAACAGAAAATTATTTCCATCTAGAAACAAATGTGGGTTTATAATTATAGCATTCTGCGAATTAACTGTAACACCGAGCAAAAATTTTATTATTAGCAGATTTACAAAAACAAATTTATCTCTAATGTGCCTATTTAAATGACATATAACACTTGAATAATTTTAAAAGGTATTAACACTGCATATTTTAAAAAAACTGCATTTAAAAATTTTTAACTCAGAATGAAAAATCTAATAGTTATTTTCTCTCGGGAAATTAATTGAAAAGAGAGATTAATGTTAGTTTTATCCAAAACTTAAAAAAAAAAAAAAAAAAAAAAAAAAAGAAAAGAAAAAGAAATGGATTCTCAGTTGTTGTGAAGTCTTAACTGTCTCCATGACAGAAAATTTATATTAATTAAAAAAATAACGTAATTCTGAAAGGGTTATGCCAGGATCATAAACTGGACTCAGTTTTTTCTGAAATATGATAGCAGTATCACTATCAAACTTAAACTTGCAAGACAACAAACACATATTTAAAGAAGCTTTAAAAGATGAGGTAGTAATCCTATTTCAATACTAAAAGGAAATTCATTCCTTATGATACAAACTACATTCAACATCTATAATTACACTGATATTCAGAACTATCTTTCCACTTAAAAAAGCACTGATTTTTCAAAACTACTGAATGAAACTAAATTTATTTATTTTGATGATACATAGCATCATATCATACAAAGACAAATATAAAATAAAATACCAGTACATAAGACAAACTAGAATAGAAGAGAAACACGCCAATGTGACAATTAAACTCGCAATAACAACCTTGTATTTAGCATACATATATTAAAACAGGCTATCAATTTTGAGGGCAGCTAAAGTTTCCTTCTCATCAGGAGAATGAAATTACTAGAAAAGAGAAGAAGAAGAAAAATAAAACATTGGCAAAGGAATCTCGGAAACATGTGGTCATAGCCGGATTTTGAATCAGATTTACACTGGCCGCCTACTTTTACTGAGCCAGGCTATCTGATCAAACATATATAACATAAGACTAAAAAGCAAACAAATCAGCAAAGTCAAAAAATAGGGAACGAGGGGCAACTGCACCTTCACACACCAAGTCTGAACCTCGAATATGATAGCTGTATCACTATCTACTATCATATTCAAGGTTCAGACTAAGACAACTCCTACACATTTCAATTTTTTGCTCTTAATAAGATCATTTTATTAGAGATTTAAAAGAAAGTTCTAATCCTCCATCATTATGATTTACAAATAAAGAGATCTGTATGATCTGCAAGAAATTTCATTATGTAATCCTTCTTTCAAGAATATCTTAATATATTTTCTATCAAATTAAAATCAAATTTAGCTAGCTACTTTATTCATTGAACGTCATCAGTTTCAAGAAATTTCATCAATCCATTAAAAAAAAAAAAAAAAAAAAAACCACTTACAATGTTCATAGCTTTCTATTTGATTTTAGAACCAGATTTGAACCAAATTTGTGAACCATCACTGATGAAAAAGCAAGCCCATTATTAGAGACTCCAACTCTAATGACTGTCATATCAATTCAAGCAGTCCCCCTCCCCTCCCGGAAAACCAGCAAAAACCAAAATATTGATTTTCTAGCATTAAGACCTTTCTCAAAATGCATTTTGTTTGCAGTGATACCTGATATTCAGTATCCAGTTCTGTGAAAGTTCTAATGCTTGCTATATGATTTAAACTCAGCTGCCAACAGTTAATTTTTTGTTGTAGTGACTATTACAGAAACAATCTTCAGAAGCAACTCTTTCTCTTTTGTGATCTTGTTCCAACTTTTATTAGAAAGTAGTAGCTAATTTCAAAATCTTTAAATTATTTTCAGAAGGCAGAGAGTGCCTATCATAAACTTTCAGCCATCTTGCCAGTTCCATCAAACTGTGCTTCTAAATGGCCCATAATTCCACTGAAAAACATTTTTTTCCAAATAACGCTTTGATTCCATAAAAAATACTTCGCTCAAAATGAAATACCAAATTGCAGAAAAAATATTTTGAGCTAAATGCTCCCCATGCCTTTGAATAACAACATACTATCATTTGCAGTGAAGTGCTTAACACAGACTAATTGATTCCCATTTCAGTGAGTTCAACTTAGAAGTTCTAGTTAATTATGGACTCATAATTAACTAGAAAGCTATTAGAACTTTTATGGAAGTGTCTAGCAACTATTCACTGGTCTCCTTACAGCTATATAAATACAAGTCCAAAGAAGGGTTAAATCGCCCTTTATTCCCTCAAAGAAATAAATGACAGTTGACCTCTTCTCAGGCTTACAGGAAAGCCTCCATTTGGACTTTAACTTAAGATGAAAAATAAGAAACTAAACTAATTTTTACTAGCTAAACTTTGGCTGAAGCTGTAACAAGGATAACTAACTGAGTTGGCCCATAATTAAACCTCACTGGCGAATACTAACAAGCACATAAGACTATGGCCATTCGTAGTAAGATAGGCTTAAAGTAACAATGCAGCCCGAAGGCAGAACACGCTCTTTCTAAGAATTTCTGAGCTCTTCTATGGAAGTGACTGAACTCCCCTATTAAATACTGGTTTTACTTCATATACATAAACACAATACTGAAAATCTCATTCTGGTAGGGAGTTGAAGTGGAAAACAAGAATTTAAAGGAAAGGGTTTCAAAATTAAAAATAACTATTGCAAAAGTAAAATAATCCCTCCATGCATTGATATTTGTGAATGCAATGTGTCTGAGTAATGGGTCACTTAACACTGTACACTGTTAAACTTCAAATCCTCTTAAAACGTTGGTAGCAGGGAAAGAAGAGTTCAAGACCATTAGAAACCATGCACCAGTGATCAAACTCTCAGTCAAAGCAGGATGAAGCTGAGACAGAAGACTTTATATACTTTGCTTAAATTAAATGATTCAATCCAATCTAGACATTGATTACTTCATAAAATATTATTATTTTTATGAATTTAAAGGTATTTAGACATAAATGCACATATCTAGGCTGAATGAAAAGATTTGACTGATTTTTTTACTCACAATTATATGTTGTTACATATGGCTTTATTGGAAATATGAATCCAAACATATAAAACAGAACAAAAAACATATAAAACATGAACAAAGATAAATACTAAAAAAACTCACAATTATATGATTTAACAGACCTTGCAATTTTTCCCCCTTTACCACAGTAGAGTTCTTCACACCTAAATTTAATTTTTACAGCCTTTTAGGAATGATTTAAAAATAAGAAATATAATATTTCATGACATTCCTTTCATCATTGTGTCTTTGGTATTTTCAGCTTCCTGCATAGAGTGGCATATAGTGGTATAGAGTTTTATTTTGTGCTTGCATTGTTCATGATAAATATTCAGCGAGAATTAATTCTTTCATACAAAGAATAGAGTTCAATATTGTCTAATAACTTCTGTAACATTAGTCATCGAATTCACATTGACTCAATTAAGGTGGTATAATTCATGATTTTCTTTAAGTGCATATTGTAATTTGTGATTGCTAAATAATTGAACTATGTCCAAAAATTTTTAGTAAACTATAAATTGATGGTCGACATGTTTGACACGTGGTATATATTCAACTATGTGAGTATTACAATTTATATTTTTGTTTACCTCTAGTTAGAAGTATTTACTTTATACAGTCAATTTTATAAGTAATAACTAACATCTTTGTACCTATACTAATTAGATCATAATGTAGTGGTAATTCAATGCACAGTAAATATCTGAATAGCGAATATTAGAACCTGACTTTTATTCACAATTACACATCCATTTTTTAAAAGAAATAACAGCTCAGTTACATAATTATGTAATTTGAACCCATTATTTAATTTAACAGTTTAATAATTTACATATCTGGAATTTTGGAAATCCTAGTTTGTAATTTAAATACAATCACTGATGGACAATGAAGATTAATTTTTCACTTGTTTGCAGCTAGCTGGGTTGTGAATTTAAGGGGCGGCAAATTGGACCTATATCCCGGGTGGCTGAAACCAATGCTACACTACTGGGTACAAAATTTCACTTTTTCAATTAATATAAAAAATAAGGAAAAAGTTTTATGAAAAGAAAATTATTTCAAAAGATTATATTCTGACCTTTGATTCGGTATCATACAAAGCAAAACCCATATTCCAATCTAATGTCAAACCTCCAGTCCTTCCTTTATATACAACAGAAAAAGTTTTACTCTATAAAATAGAAGGGGGATATTAAAGCATTTTATCTCTAGAAATGTATGCTGAAACAAGCATTCAGTTATCAAAATATATATAATTTCAAATCCGATCAATGTTTACAGATGCTAATCATAAAAACTGAGTATTCTTTATGGTAGAAGATAAGTAATAAAGGTAAAATATTCTCTCCATAAATCAAAATCTTTTACATAACTATCTGGAGAGATGATAAAAACATAAAATCTGACATTGTTACATTTAAACAAAGATGCTAGACATTTATTATACACTGGTGAAATAAATTAAGAGAATTTTTATCGAATTGCATGAAAAGTACTGAACTGAAGGAAAAACCACTGCTTCTAGATAAAAATGCAAATCTTGTACAGCAAATATGTAAGCGTACATGTGTGGCTAGGGAAAGCCAGCAGAAAAACGGGCTTTATAAGCGTATGAAGGGTAAGACGAATTGCGTTCGCTAGCACACCTCGGCGAATTTCTTGGTGTTATCTTGCAGCAACTGGTTAAATTCACACTGGAACAGTAAAAATGAGTAACCACTAATGTTTAAATGATGGAATGAGATGGCAAATTGTGGGGAGGCTAGAGGCAGGCCAATTGCAAGTCCATATATGCAGAGAGTTTAATTTAACGCCCAGCGTCGTGCGCAACTTATGGAAACGGTTCCAGGATACTGCATCTATCGAGAGAAAGCCTCAGCAAGGTCGTCCAAGAACCACAACAGCCAGAGAAGATCGCTATTTGTCTATTTTAGCGAGGCGTAACAGAGGAGCTACAGCTTCTCAGCTCTCTCGAGACCTGTATGCAGCCACTGGAACCCGTGCAACAAGGGTGACTGTTTCCAAAAGATTGAATGAGAGAGGGTTGTTTGCCAGAAGAATGGCTGCTTGCGTCCCGCTGATGTCTACAGATAGGAGAATCCGATTAGCATAGTGATTGGAGTACAGAGCAATGGGGAACCGTTCTGGTCACCGACAAGTCCTGTTTTAGCCTGATTCTCACCTGATTTGCATATGGAGAGAGCCAGGAACCAGCTACCTACTGCGAAATCAATAATTATGGTAGTAGTGGTGTAACGGTGTGGGCAGGCATCTTGTTGGATGGCCGCACACCTCTCCACGTCTTTGACAGATGTTCTGTGACTGGTGTGAGGTACAGGGATGAAGTCTTGGAGCCCTATGTTTGCCTTTTCCAGGGTGCAGTGGGCCCTGAGTTCATCTTACAGGACGACAATGTGAGGCCATATAGAGCTCTTCTAATTGACGAATTTCTCGAGAGTGAGGATATTCGCCGGATGGATTGGCCAGCCAGGTCTCCAGACCCCAACCCTATACAGTATGTTTGGGATACTCTGTGAGGGCAATTGCAACTCGCAGACCCCTTCCGAGAACCATCCAGGAACTGGAAACAGCGTTGCTGGATGAGTGGGACCAATTTGCCACAGGCACTGATAAACTGCCTTATTTCCAGTATGACATCACACTGCGAAGCCTGTATGGCTGTAAGAGGTTTCCATTTCTTTTGTGTTTTCTGCAACCGCTGTTTCAGACCTTTAGACTCCCATTAGTGTTACACACGAACATGTGTGTCTATTATAACTGTTGAATTTTTATTATATCAATGTATATTCACACCAAATTTTATTAAAAATCTGTCCAGTAGTTCTGGAGATCGTAGATCAAATATGAAAATTCTCTAAATTTCTTTCAGCAGTGTATTTCACAGGGCTTTTACACTACATATCCCAGACAAATAATTATGATTTTCAAAACTGCCCATTTGAGAAAAAGAAGACACAAAAATCACAGAAACAAATCTTAAAAAAATAAATAACAGATTGCTAAAAGGCAAATGAAGCCAATAAAAAGATTGACATTAAAATACCTGACTTTGAATTCAGAACTTTAAAGCAATATTTATAATAATACTTACCAATAATAAAATTCAAAATTAACAGGAATAAAAAAATCTTCTAAGCTTGAACTTATCTTCAAAATAATACACAGTAGCTTACAAATACATACATTTTAAACCCCAATATTCCTGTTTTGATAGCAGCACTTTTCATTTTCCATATTTCACTTAGTATGAAACCAAGATATGGCTCAAGGTCATGTCAAAAGATCTGAGAACATACCTTGTGTTTGGCCAAAAACTGCTGCATGAACTAATTGAATCTCTTAATTGAATTAAATGATTGAATCTCTCTCAATAAAACTATCAAAATTTTAAAAACTCTTATTTTTACTCAGACTCACTGACTCTTTATTTTTAGAAATGTGTTTTAGTTTTTCAAAGTGAATTTTTCATTGCTATACTGCAAAATTCTTTTGCTATATCTGAATTCTTAACAATGGGAAATTTCTACATAGTTAGCCTTTCTACACTGATGTTTATCTATTTATGAAACACTGGAACCAGGCCTTAACTTAAGGTACATCACCTATTTTACAAGTCAGAAACTTATTGAATCTTTCTAACAGTTAATATATTAGAAAGTTTCATGTATATTAGAATATCTTTATAAAATTAATCTCCTAATGTCGCTTGATTTTCATAATCATAAGCAAAACGGCTGACTCACTTAGGAACTTCACAAAAAAAGTTGGCACAGTATTTTATAAAAACAAATGCATGATTACAGGCATATTATGCTTAGTATCAAACTGGCAGACCAGTAGTACTAAAATATTCTGCATGTGTCCTGAGATCAAAGGTTTCAGCTCCATTAAATCTTATTCTGGAATTCCCAATGGTTTACAAAGAAAATATTAAGACTAGACATTTTCTAGCCTGATCATGTGAGCTTCAACACTTACTCTAGCACACTTAAAACTTTGGAACAGATACAAAATCCCACTCACCTCCTAAGTAGTAGCTTTTCAAGTACTCAAAATGACTAAGGTCTGAAAATCAACCTAAAAAGCTACTAAATACCTTAATTTCCAATATACTACTAGAGCTGCCTTCTGAAGATCGATACTGCAATATTTTTAAAAAAGAATTGTCAATTGCACAGTAAATAGTTTGAAATTGGTTAAGAATTCTAGCATCCTAGTCCAAGGAATTAGATTTCTCCGAAACATGAATACAGCCACCCAAAGAAACTACAACTATTGCCTTTGTAATCATCTCTTTCAAGAGCAATGGATTAACTAAAGCAGAAGTTCTTTGGATTAACTAAAGCAGAAGTTCTTCCCAAGCAGAAGCATAATGTAAATCAGATCGAAAATGAAACTACAGTCATTTAAAACAAGGACTCTTCAATGAAAGACAATAGTTGGCTTTACAGTTGTTCGCTCGATGCTTACTGTTTCATGCAAGTTAACTGAGAACAATCTGGTGGTGCCAGAAAATGTGAACAAGAGATCTTCTTACTTACAGCTTTTGCATATAAAAATCTTTAATTTTTTTCAGTGGTAGCAAATATTTCACCAGTAAAATTAATTATGCAAAATATTTGGAATTTTTTTATTTGAGCCTTTCTTGAATTTTGTTATTATTATGAACCAATGAGCTATAACTTCCAGTATAATTCAACATAATGAGTGAAAAAACAGACCTCTTGAATATGCGTCGAGTGTGCTAAGCACATTTCTCTTAAAACTAATTGCATGTTTTCAATGTGCGACCACACCAAGCTCGGGTTGCTGCCACCAAATATTATCGTCCTGTATTATATTTGAAGGCATGGAGGTCTGAGCATCCGCCCAAAGAGATGCCGACTTTTATGAGATGGAGCCTGCCTGGTTTGTTTAAATATAAATCTTTTCAAAATTGCCTTTCTGTTTGGTAATTGGTATCACCCCCTTCAGGGAACATGACGAAAATAGCAGGTCCATGCGACTTTCATCTTCACCAAAAACGGTGGATGAAAATTGGCTCATTCTTTGCAACACTGTGAAAAAGCTCTCCTTTCTTAGGCATGTGTTTCCCACAAAATGATTTTTTCACTGAAATCTTTCCATTCTGTACAGAAGTTTCAAATCAAAATTGAGTTGAAGCATTGCTATATTACTTCTCCATCTCCAACTCAAAATTAAAACAGAGAATGGTTAATAGCAGTACATCAACTTCTGTTGAGGTAAATGTGGTAGACAAGTTGATTATATGGCAGATCATTCATGACTGCATTAATTTTGACAGACGTGACATCACTGTGGTTTCAATTCATGACATCACTGTGGTTTCAACTGCATTGCCACTGTATTGCTCTATTATAGTTGACAATATATAAGAATTCAGAATTCATTTTCTTCAAATACATAAGATGGGGATTAGTAAGTTGCCTGTAAGTTATCAGAAATTAATACAGGTTACATATTATTCATATTTAAATATTTTTGGCTAATCTGATATATCTCAGTTTGAGTTACATTAACTTCATAAAACATAAAAGCAAACAACTAGCAAGTTAATAGTCAATTACATATTTACCAGAAAAGTTCAAACATTACCTATATGGAAATGCATGTGAATTACTTATGTTTCAGATAATTCAGAAAAAATTATTACTTCAGATTAAGTAAGCAATTTAATACATATACAGATGATAAATACATACTAATTTACTAACACAAACTACATAGATGCATAAAACTCTACCCCTAATCTAGTGACAGCATTATAAGTAGCCCGATGCCATCCATTTTCTATCCTCAGTAGCTCAGCTTTGGTTTCAGCACACATGTAATGAGTGTCAGAAACTCCTGTATGAAGCATAAAACAATGCTGACGCTCATCTATGTACTCTGAATCCTAAAGTGACAAAAATCCACAAGAACAATTAATTAACTACATACCATGACAAACAAACTATGAAGATATGAAATTGATTACATCACCAAGAATTATATCAGCAAATGAAGTATTCTCTGCAGCAACTTCTTGGGTATTTCTCTAAATCTTGATAATTTAGACAAAAATGTTATGAGTAATTTTTAAAATTACTTTTATTTAAGGCTATAATCATAGTACAAACATATAAAAATTTGTATGAAAGGTTACGATGTAATATGAATTTACCTAAAAACTTTTACAAAAAATTCTTTTATAAAAGTTCTTATTGCCAAATTTACTTAAAAAATGAATAAAATATAATTTTTTTTTTAGGTAGCAATATGGTGAAATTTCATTATTTATGCTTTAAAAAAATGGAGTATAGAAGCTTATTTTCTAATGACTGCAAAACTGGACCATAAAAGAAACATATCTGCAGAATCCTAGGCATCCGATTCAAAAATAAACAAAGAAAACATATATGTACATTATTTGAATTTGCCAAACCACTGAAACCTCTGATGGTTGAGTTGTAAGGATTATGCAGACAAAAGGTTGAATGTTTAAATTTCAATGCATGCAACTCTGTTGCATAATTTTTTAACTCTACCACAAAGAAATTGCATTAAAAAATTATGCTTAAAGAAACAACTGAATAGCAATATGACATGAAAATTTCAAAAACACGTTTCATGTTTTTATCTACTTTTTATGACTTACCTAAATTTATAAGCACTAAAAATAGCACTATTATCATGAGAAATATTCAAAACATAGAATATTCAGTACTTTTCTGTTAAAAGGGTGTCACTTAGCTCCAAGTATAACTGCTAGCATGAAATATAACTAGGTGTCTGCAACCCTAACCATAAATAAAGCTTAGGAGAATTGTAACAATTTTACATATAATGAATATAATATATATAATATTTAACACGTTGAGCCCGGCGCCGAATTTGCTGTCCTTTCCGTTCAGCCGGTAGCTGGCTGCTGGCTGGTTTCGGTTCAGCTGATTATCTTGGTAACAAAATTGGCTTAATCAAGATTCATAACAAAACGTTACCAAAAAAGTTGTTACGTATTGCAATATGTGCAAAGCTAAGCCGTATTTTTGTTTAGAATGTTTCAATAAATTTCATTAAAACTACGTTTGATTACATTTCATTGAGACTATATTTATTTTTGAACTTTAATACTGTCGGTCCTGCGGGCCGACACTAGTAAACAAAAATTCCAGTGCTGGTCCCCAGGGACCGATGCTGGCCACACAGAAAGTTCACTGCTGGGCTCAACGTGTTAATCTGCAGAATGCCAAGACTGTGCATGATGCTGAATTTGTGCTATTCTCTCATGTTTTTTAAGTGAAAACACAGTACTGTGTACATGAGGAAAAGAAAACTGCTCTTCTCCCTAATGTACACAACTATCTATTTTCGCTTTAAAAAAAAAGTTGGTGAACTGCAGAAATTCAGCATCATGCCAGTGTTGCCAGAAAATTTTCAGCTAAAGTAGCAAAAGCAGATCAAAAAGTCACAAAATGACATCAGAGATCACGTGATGTTTGTGACGTCATAGTTACACATGCTTACACGACCTCTGACGTCATCACAAATTTACTATCTACTGGTTCTGTAAGTTATAGACTGTATTCGATCCTTAGCTGTTTTAATTACGTATCTTAGCTTTAACAAAAATTTTAAAACTATATTGCTCATTTTCAATTGTTTAAATATCCATTTCTTTTTTAATTAATTCTCATTTAATTTAGGTTCTTTTTTTAATTTTGTGCATATCCATTCTTAAGAGATTCCTCACGTTTAGATTGTTAACGCTTTTGTACTAAATCTTTTGAGTTGGCAGTTAATTTGTTTAATTCATTGTTTTTTTTTTTTTTTCCTGCTTAATTGTGAATATTTTAATTGAGAAATGCTTTTCAGTGATTTTTCCGTTCTGCTTAGCGGGCTTATTTCAGATTCTGATTACTTAAGAAAGCCTTGTTCTTTCATGATTAAATTTATTTGTGTTGTTATTTAGAAAAATGCTGTTGCTTTGATTTTGAAGTCATTTCCATTGCTTAGTTCTTAGCAATATTATAAAGAGAATTAATTTCCTTTCTTTTTCTGTTTGGGCACCCAATATATGTTATCAAGAGAATTAACTGTCAATATCAAGATAATTAATTTCATTTCCTTCTCTGTTTGGGTACCCAATATATGTTACATTTCTTTCTCTGTTTGGGTACACAAGCTATATACAAGTTCTTTTGGTCAATTCGTTAACACCACAGAACTGGACTTAAAAACAAAAACACAGGGAGGCGAGGGCAGAAGGTGAGAGGTCCCAAAGTAGTTTCTTTTTTTTTCTTCCTTTCCCCCTTCCCCCTTCTTGTTATACCGGGCTCAGGCTGTGCAGCCTTAAAGGAAAGCCCACATGTAAATTGGATTGTCAGATGCCAACTTTTATTCTTAAATGCTAATTTCTAAAGGTACCACTTTATTAGTATTTCTTTTTGGACATTCTTCACTTTTTACTTTTGGTTTTGACTTTTACTCTTGCCTGCTTGAATGATGAAACACGAATTGAATGATTGGAGATTTAGGTTTGGAGGCAACTTCTCCTTGATGAGTCTGTCTCCTGCCTGCTCAACAGTCATTGACTTATGCATTTTTAAAAAAATTGTTTGGATTAATTTTTACTAAATTAGTGAATTTATTTTCATGGATAGTTTTTGCACTTGATTTGCTTATGCTTCTGAATTTAAATGATATTGTAGATTAGTTCGAGAATTAAATCTTTTATATGTTTACACATTTTTTTAAATTTCTTAAAAATTTTTTTGGCTTTAAATTTGCTTTTTTACTTTTATACGTGTTTGTTAAAATTTAAATTTAATTTGTTTAAATTTAAATTTCATTCCTTGCAGCAATGACGCAAAGAATTATTTAATTAAATTTGTATTTAAATTTAATTAATTTATTTAATTAAATTCAATATATATATATATATATATATATATATTATTAGCATAACTGCTCATGATGCAATACAAATAAAATATCTCATTTGGGCTTTGGCACACATTTTGCAACTGGCACTTTTTTATAGAAAAGCACGAAACATTCCAGTACCATGATATCAAAAAAATAATGATCTATTACAATTTAAATGCTACCTTTCAAAGTTCAAGAGGTAAAAGTACATTCTATTTGCTTGATAAAATATCCCTCTGCATTATATTGATTCCTGATGAAAATCAGTCAATTCAGAAACAGAAACATCAGTTGTTGAGTCATCAAAGGAAATATTTTGAGTGAATCTTCTGAGATAGATTATTTATGATTTTAAACAATTAAATGTTAAACTTCTATAAATTAATTTTTAAAAAAAGTATGACTTACTGATAAAAATATATACAAAATAACTGGCTTAAATAAGTAATTGAAATTCAGAAAGTCAATTTCATTTTTGTATTATTCATTAAAACTATATATATGAATGAATAAATTTTAACTTACGAATGAATGAACTTAAATTATGAATTATGAATAAATTTTGGAACAAAATAAAATAACAGAAAAGAAAAGAATGCACATAATGCCTGTCAGTGATGATTTTCAGAATTTTTTAGTTACACAACATGCTAAAAAATAGCAAAAATTTGATTTTTTAATGCTTTATTTATTAATCATTGCCACATATTTTAAAGTTTATATTCAATCAATCCTCTTTTATTTTTAAAAGAAACTACTTTTTTTATGTACTACATACAAAATCATCAAAATGGAATAGAGAATATGAATTTGAATTACCTTTAAAATTTTTAACATTGCTTGATAAACTTTGAACACATTTGGACAACTTGAAAATGACTGTACATTGCTCTGAAATAGAAATACAAAATGAAATGGGTTATGCATCATTAAAAGATTTAGAGAAAATTTCAAATTTCAAAATAATGCAATTTAAAATAAATATTAAAAGCTGTATACAGTTCATCACATTAATGAATAATAAAAAATACAAAGTTATTCTAGAAAATATAATTTTGATGTACTGTTTTGTTCAACTGATTTTCACGTCAAAATTAAAATTACATACAATTTACAATTATGATTAATAAATTATTATTGGAAGTAAACCAGCATGCAAGCTGAAGCAGCTTTCTTTTTTACTTCTGGTTCTCCTAAATTGCAATTAAAAAAAAAAAATTAAAGTATCTGGTCAGGCTCAAAGATAAACTTAAAAATGAAAAGAAGAAAAGACATATGTAAATTAATCTCAAATATATTATTATTATATGGTAATTTGGAATAAGGGGCTAGCATAAGCCCTTTGTTAAATTTGCCTCTAATTTGTGAGCCCCTTTTTCTCTCTGTTTGCCTATTTATTAGTTCCATAAAAAATAAAAGTCTCGCATGTCCTAACCATACTTTGACAAACTTTTATATAAAATATTAAATGCAAATAAATTACTTTTGGAATGTCACTGAGATGGTTTTAACAGAAAAACTGTGTAATGAAATTCCTAGTATTGTAAAGAAAACCAAATGTGAAAGAAGACTATACCATTAATTAAACCATCTCAAAGTAAAGTCTGTAAGAGTCTAAAAACAAGATAAAATGTTCTATGTTGACAGGTATCAGTAGAAGCTAGATCGGCACTTCTGTTGTACCATTAGTGATTGAGGTACTGGTATTCTAAGAGAGAACACACTGGGGGCAGTCCAAGGGTCTCCAATTCCTCTTCCACTAACCTCTTGTGAGGATTCCAGCTTGCTGGGTGTTTTTGAATGTCCCCTTGCTGCAAAACACTATAGACTTACAAACACCCAGTCTTGATTTGTACCTGGGCCCTTCAGTGCAGCAGTCAGCATCACTAACCACTATCCTAGCAAGCACTGAAACTACATTTAAACATAAGGAGGAGTTTTTACAGATGACCATCTGCTTCATCAGCTGGAGCTGGAAAGAATGGATCAATTATGCTAATGAAGCAGACAGATCATCTATAAAAGCTCCTACTTTTACCTATGTTTAATCATGGTTTCAGTGTGACAACCTACAATATTTTATCTTCTTATTTTAAGTGTATTCTAATTGAGTCTGCCAATTAATTCTTCAGTGCATAAGAATCTAGAAGGTCTCTAATCAGACCTTATAAGAATCTAGAATCTAGAAGATGTTGTTTTAATAGTACTGAAATTGGCCTAACTTTCAGCTCAGTGAGCAAGATTCCCATTTCTTTTTTCACTATACACCATATCTTATATTTAATGATAGCTTCCTTAAATCAGAAACCACACGGAAAATTTAATCCTAAAGCCCCCTATGTAAAAACGTTTTTGAAAATGATCACTTGACCCTAGAACCTCCTCAACCGAGATCAACGAAGATGAAAGAAGAAAATAATGTGCAGATATTTCTGGCTAAAATTATGCTGTATAATTAAATTTATTCATTCTTTTATGTAATTTCTTTGATATTTTATGATTTTTAAATTTTTAAGCAGAATTATTTGTATTTTCTATTTTTGAAAAGTCAAATTTTTAATCAGAATTTGCTGTTTTGTTTATAATAATTAAATGTGGGCCCTTTGTTAAAATTTTCACAACTTCCCAGTGAATATATTAATACTAAACATAGCATATTGTGTTTATCCAGTTCTGTTTGTCTGAAATTTTAATGATTTCTATATTATAAGAAATATGTAAAACAATATTAGTTGTGTAATTTTTTGTCAAGTTTTAATGTCAGTGCTTTACAGTTTTAATGGCTAGCAGAGTATTACTTGATTTTCATAAAAAGCAACTGAAAATCTTTTTTACGTTTTTATTATTCTAAACAGCAAAAATCCTTTATTATTCATGCATAAAATCTAAATCTTATCTGCAAGCTAGCATTCCCACTATGAAAATTCTTTACTACCCATACACAAAATCTAATCTCTACCTGAAATTACATACTTGATATGCACAATACACCATTTATTAAACTCATTGGTTAATAAACTCAGCTGCTTTTATTAACCAGTGAGTTTATAAAACTGGCACATATTAAACTCTGCTGCTTATTAAACTCATACTGGCAAAAGGCTGATTCTACAGAGCCAGAATATCCTACTTGTATGTATCAAAGCTTTTCGTAGTTCATCCATTTAATATATTTATTATCCAGATATGTAATACTTCAATAAAATAGATTTGACTGAAAATTTCCTAACTCCTGTCCCTGCACCTGTGAGACACTGCTTTTAGAGATTTTGTTTCGCTCCAATTAGATTTCAGAGTAAGAAAATTTCCTTATTTTAAGATTAACAAAAACAGTTCTCTATGAACACTGTAAATGGTAATGGTTTGTTATTGAATATCAACTGATAGGAGGTAAAGGTGCAACTTCTGTATCTCATCTTTTAAGGTTTCCACATTCAAAAGCTTCCCCTTGATAGAAAAACATTATGTTCACAAAAGAGCTACAAGAAAAAATTCATGAAATGCTTCTAAGCATTACTATACATTAAGAGCCTTTGAAGAGAAAGGAAGTGGTGATTGCGGACTGAAGCAAAGAAAGCACTGATCGTACTTGTAATGATGAAGTGGCAGATTGTCTAAACAGAGTAAGGGCAATCTTTCAGCAGGTTAGAAATGTAAATTTGAATTTTGAATAAATCATTGGAAAAAGCATTTTTTAAAATTTGTTGTATGCTTGTCAAAATGCCAAGTGAAACACATAAGCATGAAAGAAAAAGATAAATTGTCGAAAGTTTCTAATGTTCTTGGTAATTGCAGCCAAAGAAAAACTATATTGAAGAACTAATGAAAAATGCAGTCTCAAAAAAGTGCAAAAGAGACAGAAGATAATAGACTTTAAAATCAATTTTCTAGAATGGTTTCCAGCTAAAAGGTAAAAAATGTGTCTACTTCTAGAGGTTTTTTCCCTCTAATTCACTAAATGCTAGGAGAGAATTTTATGTCAACTGGCATAGGGTTCACAAGTAGGAGAAAGAGAAATCCAAGATTATTCATCAGAAATTGCATGGTGAGAAGGAAGAAGAGGATTATCATGTAACTCATAAACTGGATAAAAGATGTTTTACGTGGATTGTTAATGAATACAAGCCACTTAAAATTCATAGAAATCAGACAGTCCATACAGAACATTGCCTGAACAGCAGTTCATTTAAGTTTGAAAGAAGTCAAAAATTTGCTTTTGACTTCTTTCAAGTTTTGCAACAAGAACTCATGAATACAAATAGTATTTTTACTGATTTTCTTTTCGAAATGGGACAGCAAACTCAAAAATGAAAAAACAGCTGTGCAGCACACACATCTCTTCTTGACAAATATTAGTATCTCTTCCTGCAAATACAACTTTTAACATTCAGCCTTTAAGTTTAAAATTAAAGGCTGAATTTTATTTAAGTTTAAGGTCTTATAAAAGTTTCAAATATTATTCCAGAAAAGATGTTCAGTAAATTATGAATGGAAATAAATTTTGTGAAAATGCAAGCACTTCAAATGGGATAAGTCATTATCTCTGCTAGAAGTCATGCATATTATAGTCAATGCAGGGGATTAATTTCTTAAAATTCTTTAAAAACTATTTTTGAAAATGTAGCATTTACACAGAAGAAGCTTGAGAGGAACTGCCAACTATAGTTAATGTTTCAGATATTGGTGATATAAGTTAGGAGGATTTACTTTTAGAATATTTGTCAATTCATGACACTATTGAAAGAAGGTGGAAAAACTGACTATGAAAAAGCTAAAAGAAATGCAGAAACTGACAGCAAAAGTGATGACATGACATCATCAACCAAATCTAGTTAAACTGAAAGTTGCTGATCAAAAAAAGCTATCAGAAGTTTATGAAACTGAGAATGCAATTGGAAAACTGTTGTTGAACAATATGAAACAAGCACAGATAGTTATTTATTAGATAATAAAATTTATTATTATTACTAATATGTATTAATATTTATTTGTAAGAGAATAAAATTTCATCAAGAATGTAATTATCAAAATATATTTATAAAACTTTTTTAATTAATTTCAAAATTTCATGAATAGTTTAAATTCAACACTAATTTTTAATTATTATTTTAGAATTAATCAATTAATTAATTGTAAGTTATTATTTTACTTGAAAGGTTCAAAATTGATATCAGTATTTGCAATACATAAAATGCCATTTATTAAACACAAATACATTTGGAATGGAAGTGATTTTTAAAAAATGGCGGATACTGTATTGACGTCTCATTGCTGTCACAAATCTAAAAAACCTTATTACAATCTGCAAATCATTAAAATAAATAACTTATTATTTTACAAAATGAAGAAGTAAATGTATCTAAGTCTGCCACTTCAAGAACTATCCATAGATAGTGTTTCTTGTACAGTACAATGTCCGAGATCTGGACTCGTCAGAACATGCAAGATTCCAGATTTTGGATTTTTCCAGATATTAAATCATCAGTTTAAATCTAGCAAGATGGCATGGAAAAATAATAAAATTAAAAATATGAAATCGTAATTTATGAAATAATTAAGCATTTGTGATCTAAACGGTATCAAAATTTAGAAAAAAAGCTTATTATATATTTGGCTACTTTATTAAACATTTCTTTCAAGTTGTTTAAGTTGCTTCGCTTTTTGTGCTAAAATACTTTCTCTTTAATTCTATAGACCATAATTTCTTGTTAAGTTACAAAATTCTAATGTAGAAGTCATGTAATTGCCTTTTCTAGGATTCCGACTAACTTGTCAATCAAAACTTTTTAATTTTCAGTAACCTCTCTGTCACTTTCTTCACTATCCGCAGCGGTATTTTCTGAATCTAGAACCATAGCACAGACTTTACCATCTGTTAACTGATTGAATAT